AGGGTTCGCCAGGGTTGATCTCTCCAGAGCTTATAGCTCTCTCGATAATGAACATTTTGGAGTGAAACTTTTTTCCCTTGTAGATCTTATAGAACTCTACAGACAACTATATAGAAAGTTTTTCTCTAAAGTGAAAACTGAATTTTTAACAAATGAGAGAATGATTGTTTCAGAAATTCCCAAGAAGAGGAGTCCTCTGTCGATTTTGGCGTCTAAAATTTTCTACAAAATTTATTTTTCACTTCCATGGTGAACATGAAGCATTCTTTGTTAAGTAACATATAGGAGCAGCTCGTATCATTTATCAGAAAGGAATTGCTAAAGTTGGAGTAAACCAAGGTGAAAATCTGTTCAGGCTCGAGAGAGTGGACGAAATATTTTCCTTTTTAATTAGTCGATGGTAACGACCATAAATGAACTCTAATTAAGATAATTGCGACTAAGGACGCGTATAGAGCATACGGTAGACCTGGTGGACGTGGATCAACTTTGGTGCCATACAATTTACCAACAAAATAAATCTAAGATAAACATAAAAGTTTCGATTGTTTCCAGGTCTTTTTCCAACTGGCCTGTATTTCTCCGAGCTTGTCATCGCCGCTGATGTCTCGTTTTTGCTGCAACCGGTCGCTAGTTGAGATGTGCAACGCGATGTAACCCAAGCTTCTCTGCAGACGAGCGGTAACGTAATATCCTACAACTCACCGACACGGCAATTTCTAGTTCTAAACTAACACCGGTCTGCTTCTAGCGGCTGCCTGGCGCACGTGCGACGATAAACGTTAGGAAACGCCGGCCAGAGATTCCTGGGAGATTCGTTTCTGTGTTATTTTTCGAGTAACACGCTCGTATCTTATCGGCCAAGTAAAAAGTGACCCCTCGACTAGCTACTTATTGAATAATATCAGGCTACATTTCATCTACGCGTGTCTCTGCGTGTATTAAACTCGGTCAAGGCACCAGGCTGCCTTTGGAAACGGCGTGAAAACCCCTGCACGCGGGCCAGGGATGAATTACACAGCGAATAAAACCTCTGTAACATAATACACTGTCAGAATACTTTACAATTGCTATTATTTCTATAAACGCGTTTGCTCGACCTTTTAATCTGGTTTCTTTGATTAATGTATTTCTTAAGACACTTCCAATCGATAGAATTCTACTTGCAGGAACAAAGAACCGACTGGATACGTTCCCGAGCGATTCTGGACGATGTCTATGGTCAGTATTCGCGTTCAATGCGACGAGTCAAGGAAATAAACGAAGCGTGGTCGAGCAAGTGCCACGCGAAATTAAAAAAAAAAAGTCAAGGATACGAGAGAAAGTTGCTACCAGAGAGTAATAGGGACCTTGTGCTGGTTCAACGTCAGCTTACTATGTTCTCGCGACAGGATTGCCTTAAACTCGCGGATTCGTTATGCCGTAGTTGGACGTAAATCGGAAATTTATGCTGGACGAATTAATTTTTGGAGAAAGAAACGTAACCGACTTCGAGAAATATTTATTTAGTAGCTGGACTTATGTGTATAAGTCCCGTCAATCTTCTCGTGGTACTGTATCAAGCTTTAAAACTTGTTGTGAATTTCAAGTACACTTCTGCGAAGTTAATTTTCAATTGTTGGATGGCTGCGCAAGCTTTTTTCCTTTTCGAAGCTTGCTAGAGACAACCCTATAAGACGATATAAGGCCAAAATGGGGGCTAGATTGTAAAAACTTTTGAGAAATTCAGCAAGCAAAGGGTTAAAACTACACTAAAAAGTATGAAATAGTTTCTAGTTAATTTGTACGAATACTCACTAGGATTAGATGTAATTGCTTAAGAGTATGGAGAAATGCAGCGAAGGGTATGAAATAATTTCTATTCAAACTGCATTATTACTCTTCCGACTCTTGACGAATTTGATTGAATTATTAAATACAGCATGCTAAATACAATGGAATCCCTTTTCAGAGTCTGTGCAAAATTAGAAATTTTAAAAAGGTTAATTCCTCGCCGAGTTAGGTCATGTAATGGGAATTTTCCTGTAAGAATAAGAAAAAATTCACAAATTTTTGCAATCTCGATCGTCGCGATAACCTATCCGGCAGCAAAATGTCAAGGGTTTCGTCGATTGCGTGCCAAAATGCCAAGAAATGTCAAATGCTCTTTTTAACGTTAAAAAAGAAAAAGAGAAATGCGTAGCCAGCTCCTCTTCGAAGTCGGTTAATTGAAGATTGAAGGTTTCCAAGGAAACAACACGATAAACATAATTTTTTACAATAACACAGTATTTAATTCAATTCCAACCGAGATCTAAATAACGCGATCGTTTGAAACAAATCGATCCTCGTTTTCGAGAAGAACGCTCTCCAGTCTTCGCGATAGCGAGACTCGTTAGAAATGCCGTTGACGATCGTATGAAAATATTTGCGCGATATCGCGTTACAGGTCGCTATTGATACACCGTATGACTCTAGACGTTTATGTATCGCTTTACTTCTGATTAAGGCTGCTCGATTTTCGTTCTTGGAATATTATTTCAACCAGCGAGGCGAGTCCTTTTTTTTTTTTTTGCCGTTAGCGAAACTCTCACCGTTCGTCACCAGCTAACGTTTTCCGAACGTTTTCCCGATATTGTAAACACGTGCGCGACATGTGTCGCCATAGGACGTTTTACGAGCGTAAATATTTCGAGCCCCGTGCATGGCGCAGCAACCAAGTCGTACATCTGTGATCTAATTCGTCAATTTAGCGCGCTCGCTGTGCATCGGTCACATAACTTTACGATTGATTCTTGTACCTATTGGTCCAGCCTTGTACGTATATACATATGTGTGTGTGTATTTTTTTTTTTTGCGTTGCGATGCCTTGCGTTATTTCTTCTCGAGTTACGTTCCTTTTATTTACTCTACAAGTGTCTTTTTTTGTCTTCTGAGCGAAAACGCGAAACCCGGGTTCTCTCGGTTAGGTCTGAATCCAAAGACTTGTTTATTATTTTTTTTCTTAACGTAAGTTGAATAATCAAAAACCGTAGATGCGCGGTTTTTGCCTGTACGATGCATAATGTATAACGTTCTTTGCGGAAAGCGCGTTCTCGAAGGATCCTTGGATAAGTATGCAAATTTTGAAGGTGTTATCGATGACACGCGAGCAAAAAATTCATAAAGCATGTTATATTCCAGTGGCCTGGATTAGAAGTACGAACAATGTACGAATGTCGTTGCAGGGACGGACCCGTGGTTCTTTGACAAATTTGAAAAATACCGATCCGAGAATGGTATCGTCTGCGACAATGTTATCTCCTGTTCCAAGGAGCGCAGGGGTCCTGATTGGCTCTCTTGGCGACTGCTCGGTTCAATTGAATTTAACGATCGAATTAGGCCGATTTACTTTCATTATTCCGCACAAAGGGGACTCGAGAAAAGATGAACGAACGCCGCGGAGACTTTCAAGCCGTTTCGAATCGCCGAACCGAATGTTTTTCATAATATTTATCTACTTAAAAATTAATTGCGACGTATAACAGCCTGATTCGATCCGAAAGCTCGGACAAAATCGAAGAAACATTCCGATTCGTATGAAATCTCGTATACCAGCTCCACTAATTACGAATCTGAAATATAAATTTAAGAAATAATAATAGCGGATCCAATATGGCGGCACGAAATGTGAAAAGGCGCTCAATTTCGATGAAATTTGATATACAGGGGTCTTTGGGGTCGCTGATTCCGAATCTGACCTAAGAATTTAATAGTTCAAAATGGCGGATCCAATATGGCCGACTCGTATCCCAAAAAGTTATTAGATTTGTGTGAAATTTGATTTACAGGGGTTTTTGAGGTCGCTGATTCCGAATCTGACCTAAGAATTT